GGTATTTGTGAATTTCCTGCATTGTGCAGGGGGTCGGACTAGATGACCCTGGAGGTCTCTTCCAACTCTATGATTCTTTGGGATTTGACCGCAATTTCCACCACCAAACAAGAAGAATTGATATTGATCGCTGAAGGTCCCAGGTTCAATCCCTGGCATCTCCGCTTAAAAGGACCAGGCACTTGGTGATGTGAAAGACCTCTCTGCCTGAGACCCAGGAGAGCCGCTTCCAGTCTGAGGAGACAATACTGACCTTGATGGACCAAGGGTCTGATTCTGTATGAAGGCACCTTCATATGTGTTCATATGTGAGCTTTCCTTGGTGCAGAATTTGGAATGTCTGCCCGCCAAGTTCCAGTGTGTTCCAAGCACCACGAGCATACACAGCTCTGTTTCTTATCGCTGACACCATGGTGTGCCTGAAAGCCAGAGCGGTGTAGAGCCTAGAGCATCAGATCAGGATGCGGGAGACCCAGGTTCGAATCCCCACTCTTCCACAGAAGCTCGCTGAGTGTCCTTGGGCCGGTCACACACTCTCAGCCTAACTTACCTCACAGGGTTGTTGTGAGGAATAAAGGGAGAGGAGAAGGAATACTTAAGCCACCTTCGGTCCCAACTGGGGAGAAAGGTTGGGGTATAAACGAAGGAAGTAAATAACTAAATCATATCCACTCCCTCTGGTTCCTGGTGTTCCTCTGTTCCCTGGTCTGGCCACGCTGCCCGTCTCGTGATTTCGTCGTGGTGTTTTGTGCCTGAGGTGGCCGCCGTCGTCCCTGTTCCCCCGAGACAGCTCCCGTGTTGACATGGATCATCTGCCACCTGCCTGTCGTGATTCGTTTCCGATTTCCACATATTCGCTGCCGTCCATAATGTTTCAGCAAAGACAAAGAGGGAAGGAAATTGCAGGGCCCATTGTTGGGACCCGTTGTCTCCAACCTTCTGCCTTTGCCTGTTATCGTGTTTGGTCTTATCTTTCTCTGGCAGCAGAAGAGCTCCAATATTGTGTGTTCTTTCCTTTCCTATTATTCTTTTCTCCTTTCCTTGTTTTTCTTTTTGTTTAAACATATATATAAAACTCTCTTTTTAAAAAATTTATTCTTTGCTTTCGGAACGCCGCGTAGTCTATGCCATGGAAATTAACCGTAAGTCTTTTGTTGAACCTGTGACAAATTAATTAAATGCTTTGAGTCGTGAATTACCCCCACACACACCTAACACTGAAGACATTGTTCCTTTTTAATTAGAATTCCATTCAAGTGCTATCTGTAATTATATACAAGGCCGGAGCCTGGACTGGCTTGACCAGGATCCTAGTTCCCCTGCCTGTCTCGTCCTGTCCAGCCAGTTTGCATCCAGAGATTACATCCTTATCTTTTCCCTGACGTGCTAGATTTCTGCACGCAGATATCTGCTGGGGGAAGGGGAGTCCTCCTACAATCTGAAGTGGTCTATTCCAAGAACAGTTTGGTGGTGTGAGTTCTTTTTCTAGACTAGGCCTCAGTCGGAGCAGGCCTTTAAGCCCTTGAGCGGTCTGATGTGCTGATGTGAGCAGTTCTTTTTCTAGACTGGGCCTCAGTCGGAGCAGGCCTTTAAGGCCTTGAGTGGTCTGGGACCAACGTATCTGAGGAACTGTCTCCATTACACCTCCGGGAGAGCATTACGCTCTTCACAGAACAATGTGCTGGTGGTCCCCAGCCCTAGAGATATCTGGCCGTCCTCAACCGGGGGCCAGGGCCTTTTCAGCCCTGGCCCCCACCTGGTGGAACTCTCTGCCAAATGACATCAGGGCCCTGTGGGATCTAGGGTTGCCGAGTATTACCTCGATCCAGAGCAGGGGACTCCCGGGTTGCTCCCTCAGATGGTCATGGCCCCGCCCCCAGCGTGCCCCGCGTGATCGCATCACTTCCTGGTGACGTGCACGTCGGGGTGGAGCTCCCCCCGGGGCCCGATCCAGTGGCGGCGGGGAACGGGCCTCTGGGGCGGGGGTTTCCCCGCCCCTCGGGGGGACTTGGCAAGCCTAGTGGGATCTTATGCAGTTCCGCAGGGCCCGTCAGGCGGAGATGTTCCGTCAGGCGCTCGGTTGAGGGCAGTGACGGTTTACATTATGGCAGGCACCCTACCTGGATCCCTATTCCTTGTAGAGTTTACTCCCTCCCCGTGCGTCGGAGGCACTCACAGACCAGATATGGGAGGGAACTGCAAAAAGTGTTGTCACCAGTTGCTTTTAATTACTGTATAACGTGCCGGATATGGTTTTATGGTTTTTATGGTTTTAAAATTTGCACATGGCCTAGAGCCCCACAATTGTACTGTACTGTAATAAATAAATGTCCAGGGCCTCGATCCAGGCAAGCCTGCGGCTTCTTCCGCTGCATAATCAGGCCCGTTTGTGCTGAAGACCACCACCCCAGCTGTCTCCTCTTTCCTTCATGCCCACTGTAACTTGGCATCGTATCAGCACGGCCCAGTAATTATATAGGGTTGCAACCCTCTGTGCAGTTGTGGCATATTTGTCTGCAGTTGGAGCCAGTGTGGTGTAGTAGTTAAGTGCGCTGACTCTAATCTGGGAGAACCGGGTTTGATTCCCCCACTCCTCCACTTGCACCTGGCTGAATGACCTTGGGCAAGCCATAACTCTGGCACAGCTGTTCTTGAAAAAGAGCAGTTTCTGTCAGAGCTCTCTCAGCCCCACCTACCTCACAGGGTGTCTGTTGTGGGGAGGGGAAGGGAGAGGAGTTTGTAAGCCGCTCTGAGACACCTTTGGGTAGTGAAGGGCGGGGTATAAATCCAATCTCTTCCTCTTCTTCTCTTCTGCATACAACATCTCTCTGAGTATGCTCAGAGGTGAGACTTCCTGATGTTTGAGGGGCCCACAAGGGCTGCTGTGGTCCTCGGATTCCCCCCAGTTCTGTGGGTCGCCTTTACTATAACCGTGCACTGCACATTGTTAACGTTCCGTCCCTTTCACCCTCAGCTCCTTGTGGAGAGAACCTGTACGATGAGGATGGCAAGCGCCTCCCCCCCTGTATCCCTGGCGCCTGGCTGACTCCGGCCATTATGGCCTGCTACCTCCTGGTCGCCAACATTCTCCTGGTCAACCTGCTGATCGCCGTCTTCAAGTAAGTGCTCTGCTAGCATTTCCCTGCCATGAAGAGAAGGACTTCCTTGGCCTTTCTCATAGGGCCCCAGATTAAATTAATTTAGACTTGAAATTACACCCTGAGTTGACCTCATGCTGAGCGAGCATTTATATAGAATCATAGAATGTTAGAGTTGGAAGGGGTCTTGCAGGTCATCTTGTTCAACCCCATGCACTCTGCAGGAGCATAGCTGAAAGATTGCCCTACAACATACCCAAAATATGATTGTCCAGCCTCTGCTTGAAAACATCCAGCGAAGGAGCATCCACCACCTCCCGAGGCAGTCTGTTCCACTGCTCAACCACTCTTACAGTTAGGAAGTTTCTCCTGATATTTAGCCGGTATCGACTCCCTTGTAATTTCCACCCATTAGATCTAGTCTTGCAATCCGGAGCAAGAGAGAATAGATCTGCTCCATCTTCTACATGACAGCCCTTCAAATATATATTTATCCCTGCAAACTTTGCACAGATTCATTTATTTTGTTTCTGGGTCCACAGTAGAAGAGCTAGATTTAAGTCCAGCAGCACCTTAGAGACCAACAAGATTTGGGAAATATGAGCTTTTGAGAGGCAAATCTCCCTTTATCAGATACGAATAGGAATGGATATCCCTGATTGCTTATATCCCAGTCAGAAGGTGGGAGATAAGGACACAGGGATTTCCATTCCTACTTGTATCTAGTGAAGAGATAGAAAGACTCAGGGATCTCCATTCCTACTCGTTTCTGACGAAGGGATATAAGGACTTGGAGATCTCCATTCCTACTTGTATCTGATGAAGGAATATAAGGACTCGGGGATCTTCATTCCTACTTGTATATGACTAATGGATATAAGGACTCGGTGATCTTCATTTCTACTTGTATCTGAAGGGATATAAGGACTCGGGGATCTTCATTCCTACTAGTATCTGATGAAGGGATATAAGGACTCAAGGATCTCCATTCCTACTTGTGTCTGACGAAGGGATATAAGGACTCGGGGATCTTCATTCCTACTAGTATCTGATGAAGGGATATAAGGACTCAAGGATCTCCATTCCTACTTGTGTCTGACGAAGGGATATAAGGACTCGGTGATCTTCATTTCTACTTGTATCTGAAGGGATATAAGGACTCGGGGATCTTCATTCCTACTAGTATCTGATGAAGGGATATAAGGACTCGGGGATCATTCCTACTTGTATCTGACAACGGGATATAAGGACTCGGGATCTTCCTTCTTACTTGTATCTGACAAAGGGATATAAAGACTCGGGGATCTTCATTCCTACTTATATCTGACAAAGGGATATAAGGGCTTAAGGATCTCTATTCCTACTCGTGTCTGACGAAGGGATATAAGGACTCGGGGATCTCCATTCCTACTTGTACCTGATTTAAGGGAATTTTGGCTCTCAAAAGCTAATCCCCCCCCCCTCAATCTTGTTGGTCTCTAAGGTGCTACTGGACTCAAATCTAGCTATTCATTTATTTAGATTGCCTTCTGCTAGCATCGTGTCTTATCTGCCTGCTTCCTTTTCCAAAAGAGGAGGGCATCCTAATATTTACTGCTCAGTTGCACCCTTATCTTTTGCTACCCGTGTCCCAAACTGGAGAGCTGGTGGGTGCTGATAGAGCCTGTTGTCTTGGGCGTTATGCCCAGATTTGGGGCTCTGTTTTTGAAAACCAGCATCTCACACAAGCCATCTTTTATTTGCTGTCTGTGGCAGAATGCTTAATAGCTGAAAAGGTCATGCATTTCGAAAAGAGTCACATGCCAGTCACAGAGCTAAATTTCTCTCTCTAAAGAGCAAGAAAGCGATTCTCCGGCACACACAATGGGGGGTTATCTGGAGGGACCGCAAATAAAACCAGCACTGTCAGAAGTAGGTCATGCTGTTAACTCGTCCATGCTCTGTATGGGCTGGAGAAATGGGCCGTGTTTCCTGGCCATAGAAGAGCCCCTTTTCCCATTCAGAAGATTTGACGACACTGTCCACCGAGAAGTTCCCCTTGAAATGAAAAGGAATTGCACCAAAGGTCTTACAGTGAAATACTATTACCTGAAATCAACAAGTATGATTAAATTGTCCTAAAAATACTGCAAGATGATGGTCATCACAGGGAGATCTGTAGCAACTAAAAGGCTAATCCGAGATCCTCAACGGCTGCCATCGACACCTTTCCTGTTGCCCACCAGATGTTTTCAGAAAGTAGACGGGGCCAACAGAGCTTCTGATTGGCCACTGGAGATCTGATGGATACTGCCAGGTGACTGTGTCATAGGGAGCTCAATAGGTATACTTGTGTCCATGCTAGAAAATATTTCAAATATGTTCATCCTGATAAACAGAGTTTCTACCAAAAATGCTAAAGGGCTATTATCAGAATCATGCAGGGCTATTTTGGGGCAGGAACGCACAGGAACGGAGTTCCGGCTGGCTCCCAAGTTGGCCACGCCCAGCAGGAACTCATTAGCGTAATAGGCCACACCCAAGAGCAGGAACTCATTCGGATTGGCTACATTAGGGGTGTGTGGCCTAACATGCAAAGGAGTTCCTGCTACAAAAAAAGCCCTGGGTTTTGACAACAAACAAGGTAAACAGAATAAGAAGCAAAAGGTGGGTGTGGCTGAATGACCACACTTCTGGTAACATGGGGTTGCGGCCTAATGTGCTAATGAGCTGTGCTGTCAGGGGTGTGGCCTAATATGCTAATATGTTTCTGCTGTTGGGCGTGGCCTCTTATGCTAATGGGTTCCTGCTGGGCTTTTTCTACAAACAGAGCCCTGGTTATGCATCTGAAATTATGCATAACCTCACTCCCGGACATTACGTAGTTGGCTCTACCTCCTGCAACTGCAATTTTGTGGTTGTGTTCACCCCCCTGTGTCAGATTTCCAAAGGAGCCCAACAGTGCCAAAAGGTTGGGAACCCCTGGGCTAAGCTGTGAAGACCCCGTTCAGATTTTATTTCAGCCGCAGACTGAGGACCAGCCGTCATGTCTTGCTGGGGATCCGGGATAAGATCTTTGACTTTTAAAAGTCGAGGGTGGGGGGAATCTGGAACGGCAGGGGTCTGGACTGAGTGTCTCCCTTCTCTGTTCCATTTTTCTTAGCAGAAAGGATAAGAACATCAGAAGAAATAAATAAGTAAATAAATAAGAGCCCTGCTGGATCAGACCAGTGGTCCATCAGCATCCTGTCTCACACAGTGGCCAACCAGTTCCTCTGGAGGGCCAACAACAGGGCAGAGAGGCCGAGGTCTTCATAAGAACACAAGAAGAGCCCTGCTGGATCAGACCAGTGGTCCATCTAGCCCAGCATCCTGTCTCACACAGTGGCCAACCGGTTCCTCTGGAGGGACCACAACAGGGCACAGAGGCCAAGGCTTTCATAACAACTGCTGAAGAGCCCTGCTGGATCAGACCAGTGGTCCACCTAGTCCAGCATCCTGTCTCACACAGTGGCCAACCAGTTCCTCTGGAGGGCCAACAACAGGGTGGAGAGGCCGAGGCCTTCCCCTGATGTTGCCTCCTGGCTCTGGATTCAGAGGACTGGTCCCTCTCAATGTGGAGGTTCCCCCTTAGTTGTCACCATGGCTAGTAATTGACAGACTTATCCTCAATAAATCTATACAATCCCCTTTTAAAGCTGTTTAGTCCTGTGGCCAGCACTACATCCTCTGGCAGTGAATTCCACATTTGAATCACCCTCTGTGTTAAGTAGTATTTCCTTTTGTCCGTCCTGAACTTACTGCCCATCAGGGTGCCCTCAAGTTCTAGTCTTTTGGGAGAGGGAGCAAAAGTTCTCTTTGTCAACTCTCTCCAGCCCAGGCATAATTTTATAAACCTCTATCACGTCCCCCCCCCCACCCTTAGTCATCTCTTTGCTCAACTGAAAAGTCCCAGACTCTTCAGTCTTTCCTCATAGCATCAGAGGTCGATTCGGGGGGGATCGCGGGGGATCGCAGTTTCCCTGGGTGAGGTGCGGGGGGCAAGGCACACGATGAAGCCCCGCCCCCTGCTTCCGGCCGCCCCACTTCCGACCCTCATTCAGCCAGGAGGAGGCAGGAGAAGAGGGAGGGTAAGTTGCTTCCTCCCCGCCTCTCCCCACCCCTGCCTTCCTGGGGCCAGGGAGGGCCTTGGTGGGGCTTCCTCGCACTCCCGCTGGCCTTGCAGGTCCACCACCGGGTAACAGGCATTTGAATCATACCTCCATTTTTTTTTTTTTACTAGGGATAAGAATAAGCAGCTTCGATGGACCGGTTTTTAATCCGGAAAATATGTATGGGTTAAGTGCTGTCAAGTTGTTTCTGACTTCTGGTGACCCTATGAATTCATGACCTCCAAAACGTCCTATCGTTGAAAGCCTTGCTCAGGTCTTGCAAACTATGGGGCATGGCTTTTTTAACTGACTCAATCCATGTTTAAATAATACTCTAAGCATTCTTTTAATAATTTCAGTCTTGTAAAGTTTGAGCAAATATTTAAAATAATTGCGATTAATGTCTGATTTTCATATTGTTTTTTAGGTGTCATAATCTTCTGGAATCAAAGGCGATAACACTGAAAGCACCAAAATACTTTAAGCTGGTCTGTGAACCCACTCTGAGAGATGACAGTGTGAGAAACAAACTAGATAGACACTGGCACTGTGTTAAAATACAGCTGATTTGTGTTGCCCCAACTTATACTGAGAAAGATCACATAAAGCAATATTGTGTTACCGGTCAGCGATTTCGAAACTGTTAAATCTGATACCCATTGATTTTTACAAACCCACGATGGTATGAAAGTTAACATTTATTCAAAGAAAAATTAAACATATATATCTATTTAACTAATTCAGTTTGTATCCTGCCCTCCCCACAAGTGGGCTCAGGGCAGGTTCCATCATAAAATTCACGGTAGAACAAATCGACGGTGAAAATATATCTAAAAAATGTTGGACTGGATGGGCCATTGGCCTGATCCAACATTGGCGTCTCTTATGTTCTTATGTTCTCTACCAAGGCCACTCTGGATCAAGGGAAAGCCTGCGGCAAAACAGGACCCATGTACCCCGGGGGCAATGGCAGTCCGAGCCTGGGGTAACCAGAATGTAATGCAGAATTGACACAAAAAAGGGATAAAAAGAGGGGTGAACTCGAGTGTAGTGCAGAATACCTAGTAGGAGACTGCATTGAACCAGGATTAAAGGTCTAGTGCAGAAAGGGCCTGAGACCGGAAAATGGCCTAGGGGGAAGGAGTCCTCTCGTACCAAATCATAGAGCCCATTTCACCCCCTCACCAGGTGTTTTTTAAAGCTGTCGTAAATATTGGGAGATTGACTCGTGGATTCCCAATGTAATGTGTAGGTTGGCTCTGACGCTAATTGCATTGGCTACGTTCGAATCCAGCAGGACCTTAGAGACCGAGATTTTGGGGGAGCGGGGGGATGAGTTTTGCAGAGTCAAAGCTCCTTTTGTCAAGATACTTTTGACTCTCAAAGCTCAACCCCCCCAAAAAAAATCACATTGGTCTCTAAGGTGCCGCTGGACTAAAATCTCGCTGCTCGACTGCAGACCAAGACAGCTACCCTATGGAACTAATTACGGGATCGGTTGAAATCCGAATCCTCGAGAAGGAGGCTTAAACATCAAGGATCCGAACTCTGTTCATCTCCCAGAAGGTTTATAGGAACAAAGTTCTGAATTTAGGTTGGGTGGGGATTCTCCCCTCTCCCGAGAGAGAAAGAGAGATTTGAAAAGCCTGCTATTTAGGTCAAGCTGATCAGCATTTTAAAAGCAAAACACCGCGAAGCTCAAGGGAGGTTTTTTTAAAAAAAATTCTACAAAAGGGCCTTTCATAGCCCGAGCTCCTCGTGTAGCATCAAATGCCAGGAGATGTTGTTAGCCACGCTCAGTTTTCTGCTGCGCTTCAAACCAAGCGGCTCTGTTAGGCATGACATTTTGCAGAGATCTTTCCCCGTGTGCTGTGGGAGGGCGCTGCGAATACACTCACAGCAGTCTAAGCCAAGCGCAGGCCCCTCTCACTTCCCTCCGTGTCATGCCTCGTGCAGCCAACTGGGGCTCGAAAACCAGAGATCTGTCTTGGACCATTCTGGCTTACTCCTGAGACCTTGGTCCATCAAGGTCAGTATTGTCTACTCAGACTGGCAGCTGCTCTCCAGGGTCTTAGGCGGAGGTCTTTCCCATCGCCTCCCGCCTGGTCCTTTTAACTGGAGATGCCAAGGATTGAACCTGGGACCTTCTGCATGCCAAGCAGAGGTTCTGCCACTGAGCCATGGCCTCTCCCTCATTGAGTTCAGCATTGTAGACTAGCAGCTGCTCTCCAGGGTCTCAGGCGGAGGTCTTTCACATCACCTCTTCCCTGGTCCTTTTAACTGGAGATGCCAAGGATTGAACCTGGGACCTTCTGCATGCCAAGCAGATGCTCTACCCCTGAGCCAGGGTCTCAGACAGAGGCCTTTCCCATCACCTCCTGCCTGGTCCTTTTAACTGGAGATGCTAAGGATTGAACCTGGGACCTTCTGCATGCCAAGCAGAGGCTCTGCCACTGAGCTACGGTCCATCTTTAAAGCTCTCCAGGGTCTCAGGCAGAGGTCTTTCACACCCCCTCCTGCCTGGTCCTTTTAACTGGAGATGCCAAGGATTGAACCTGGGACCTTCTACATGCCAAGCAGAGGCTCTGCCACTGAGCCACGGCCCCTACACTATAATATATGAACATATGAAGCGGCCTAATACTGAATCAGACCCTCGATCCATCAAGGTCAGCAACTGTCTACTCAGACTGGCAGCAGCTCTCTAGGCTCTTAGCTTGATTTCACATCACCTCCCGCCTGGTCCTTTTAACTGGAGATGCCGGGGATTGAACCTGGGACCTTCTGCATGCCAAGCAGAGGCTCTTCCACTGAGCCACAGCCCCTCTTTACAGCTCTCCAGGGTCTCAGGCGGAGGTCTTTCCCATCACCTCCTGCCTGGTCCTTTTAACTGGAGATTCTGGGGATTGAACCTGGGACCTTCTGCATGCCAAGCAGAGGCTCTTCCACTGAGCCACAGCCCCTCCTTACAGCTCTCCAGGGTCTCAGGCGGAGGTCTTTCCCATCACCTCCTGCCTGGTCCTTTTAACTGGAGATTCTGGGGATTGAACCTGGGACCTTCTGCATGCAAAGCAGAGGCTCTTCCACTGAGCCACGGCCCTTCCCTATCAAGAGGGATTAGAAGGTCAGTGAGTTACCCCAGCTGCCTGAGAAGAGGAAGCCACTCCTCCATGCTTCCTTGTCAGTGACCCCAAAACTAATACTGCTTGAACAGAAATTACTGATAAATGGTGGTTCAGATGGAGATGAATGCTGGGAAAATGCTCATTCACCTCCCCGAAGGCTCTCATTGTGTCATGAGCCTGGTCCTTCCATTGGTTATTTCCCAATGGAAAGAGAGGATAGTATTTCACTGTGGTTTCAGGCCCAATTATGACACCACCATCTTGGACTGGGGGGGGCAGTTTGGGGATGGAGCAGAATAACCAGGGTCTCTCTTGCAGCAATACCTTCTTTGAAGTCAAGTCCATCTCCAACCAAGTGTGGAAGTTCCAGCGGTATCAGCTGATCATGACCTTCCACGACCGACCGGTGCTGCCTCCTCCCATGATCATCTTCAGCCACCTCTACATCATTCTCATCCGCCTCTGTTGCCGCTGCAAGAAAAGACGGGAAGGGGACCAAGACGAACGCGACCGGGGACTGAGTACGAGGAGGGTCGTCTGAGCTGTCATCACCAGCTAGCGGATCTCCATAGTTGGGGATTGGAATAGGGTTGACAGCAGTGCTCCCTCTAAGCTGAGTTAGTGTGAGCTAGCTCAGTTTTTTAGCCTCTGGCTCACACGTTTTTGTCTTAGCTCAGGAAGGAGGGCTCCAGAGCAAGCTAATTCATGCAGTAGCCAAATTGATCGCTCACAACTTTAATGCCAGCAGCTTACAAAGTAGAATTTTTGCTCACAGGACTCCACAGCTTAGAGGGAACATTGGTTGACAGGTCCCTTTAATTCACCAGTGGGGGGTGTGGGGCAGTGTTCCCTCCGAGCTGGGTTAGTGTGAGCCAGCTCACCATTTTTTAGCCTCCGGCTCACACATTTTTACCTTAGCTCAGGAAGGAGGGCTCCAGAGCAAACTAATTTAATGCAGCAGCCAAATCGCTCACTCACAACTTTAATGCCAGTGGCTCACAAAGTAGAGTTTTTGCTCACAAGACTCCACAACTGAGAGGGAGCATTGGCAGGGGGGGGGGATGCTCTGGGAGCCGGAAGCGTCGCTCCCACATGCCGACATCACTGGAAGCGATGCCACATGCATGCCTGTGTCACTTCTGGGGACTTCAAACCATAGAGTTTTGCCCCCAAAACAGAACATCCCCCCCCCTGACATCACCGACATGCCTACATCACGTGCTCTTTGGGGGGGCAAATATAACTCTGTTTTTATAAGTCCTCTCCCAGAATTCATTTCAAGCTGTGTGAAAGTATCATGAAAGCTATATGTAGCTATGGTGGTCCTCTCTGGGCTCGGGCCCTCAACTTTCCATTGAGCTCAGGCCCCCCGAGTTCGAATTTTTTATTTTATTTGTGGTGAGCGCTTCGGGGGGGGTGGAGGTGTGTGTGCGGGGAGCCCCCCCCACTTATTCAAAGCCCCCCCGAATTAAAAAACCCTGGCTACGGGCCTGAGAGGCCCTCGGGCTGGCGTTTGCGAAGGAGTGACTCCCCTTTCCCCCTCTCGCTACAGAGCTCTTTCTCAATGACGAAGAGGTGAAAAAGCTGTACGAATTCGAGGAGCAGTGTGTGGAGGAGTACTTCCGGGAGAAAGAGGATGAAGAGCAGTCGTCCAACGACGAACGCATCCGAGTCACTTCTGAAAGGTATTTGGTGAAAGGACTCCTTTGTCCTTATGCAAGGCAACACTGGGAGAGGTGGAGAAAAAGTGTCAGAACATCTGGTTGGCATGCAGAAGGTCCCAGTTTAAGTCTTGACAGTTCCAGCTAAATAATAATAATAATAACCGTATGAAAATAATAATATACTTTATTGTCATTGTACATGGTACAACGAAATTAAGATGCAATCATTCGATGATCATTATTGTATCATTATTCGGTGGCATTATTGTGTGGCATTGTGTGTAGTATAGCCAGGAGATCCTGAGATTGTCTGGCAGCCTGAAGTCCTAGCTCTTTTAGTGTTATGCACCACTAGGTGGTGAGCTAGGCTTATTTTGGGGGCTGAGAGAGCTCTGAAAGAGCTGTGACTGGCCCAGGGTCACCCAGCTGGCTTCATGTGGAGGAGTGCGGAATCGAACCCGGATCTCCAGATTAGAGTCCGTCGTTCTTAACCACTACACCATGCTGGCTCCAGCTGAAAGAATAGGACAAGAGCACTGGGAAAGACTTCTGACAGAGATCTTGGCGACCTACTGTCACTCACAGTAGCCAATGCAGGGTTACACAGCCCATTATGATATTATCTACTTGCCAGAAATGTGGGGCTTTTTTCACATAGGAAAAAAGGCCCTTCATTGACTGTGAAGCATTCTTAACCATTAAATTGGGGGGTGAAGGCAGACCAGCGGGTGATAACGGCACCATTTTTGAAAACCTGGGACCTAACAAGATTTAAAACCTCCACGAAGATGGTTTTCAAAGGGCAGCCATGTTTGTCTGCAGTGGAAGAGCTGGATTCGAGTCCAGCAGCACCTTAGAGATTCAAATCCAGATGGTGTGAGCGACTGAGAGTCAAAGCTCCCTTCACCAGAGATCTTTGATTCCTAAAAGCTTATGCAGGAAAAATCTTGTTGGTCTCTAAAATGGTACTGGACTGAAATCTCGCGCTTTAAGATTCCAGACGGTGTCAGTATTTTTGTACCGATGCAGGTAAACAAATTATACTCTGCTTTGCTTCTGGTGAGTAGACTCCTTGAAGATGGAGGCCCTGATAATAAACAAAGACCAGCTGACCTTCCTATATACTTGTCCAGACTGATTGCTACGGCTCTCAAGAGGTCAACGGGCCGAATCTGTGTTGCTTCATGAATCTCTTTTTCCCTCCCCCGCTTTCAATTCTGCAGAGTCGAAAACATGTCTATGAGGTTAGAAGAAGTGAACGAAAGGGAGCATTTCATGAAAGCCTCTCTTCAGACGGTTGATCTTCGCCTCTCTCAGCTGGAAGAGGTCTCCAGCCGGATGGCGAACGCTCTGGAGAAGTTGGCGGGGATTGACAAATCCGAACTGATCCACACACGCTCGCGGGCCTCCTCCGAATGCGACGCTGCCTACCTCCTCCGGCAGAGTAGCGTGAACAGCTCCGAGGGCTCCAGCGTGTACAGGTACCACGTCAGTGGCGGCGACGAGGTGGCGTATGACGACATGACCGCCCCTATGTCGCCGGCCTTGGCGCTGCGTAAAGCGGATTCCAAAATGCAGCTGGTTCCGGAACGCCAAGGAAGTCTCCGGTCCGCCTCTAGCAGCTCTGCGGATCACCACAAAAATACCTTGGACGTCACCCATACCATTGCGAGAGCCCGTTCTGGTTTGGGCGTCGGGCATGAACACTACCGGGGCGAAGAAACTGTACCCCAGGGCCTCAGTCCGGTGGAGATTGTGATGAACGGACAACCTGAAACCAGGCCCGCTCTTCAGAATACCCATTTAGCTCTGGAAAGGGCCAAATTAGAAGCCGCCATCTCCTATCCCTTGGACAGAACTATAGCAATGAGGTACTATCCTTCAGAAACATTCAATGCTAGTCAGGAAACCATGATGAAGTCGCGGAGTTACATATTTGCACAAGGAGGGAGGATGGTGGGCGGGGTGAACAGCTGGACGACAGGATACGGTAGCATCCTCGACCAGGTGTGCCCGTCTACGATCGAACAATGGACCGCGGAGTGGAAATACGAGTTGCAGCAAAAGCTGGCCAGCGAACCCCCTCCCGAATATCCGGGCATCGTGTCCGAGGCAGAGACGCAGGCCGAACGGAAACCGCTGCTCACCGACACGGAAGACGACAGCGACACGGGTGACGCCACGGCTCTCAGTGCCTCGCGCCCTCCTTCGCCAGCCCCCGCCAAAAGGGCCGACGCGGACCATCTGCTTTCGGTGGCACCTGACAGGACTTGCGGGTCCCTGCCCGTCCGGTCGAAGAGTTTACACAGCCATTCCCGAAAGGCCAAGGCTGTGAAGGTCGATATCTCGCTGCATCCTCTTTCCCCAGGCAACCTAGCTAGGCTCCGTTCCCCCTTCAGAAGCGCTTCATGCTGTTAGCTACCGGGCAGACGTGGCGTTTCTCTACGGCCAGCAGTGCTGCACGGATTCCTCCGTCCGCTCGTGCCCCAAGTGATTCTTTTACTTGATTGATCGATCTGAAACGTTTTTTCTGCCGCCTTTCCACCCAATCAGGGTCCACAGAGTGGGTTAACATAAGAAGCATTAAAACTTTGAAACAAGTAAAAATACAATTGCAAAAGTAAAACGGTTCGATTAAAAACACACGAACAAGCAACGCTGGAGGCCTCGTAACCGTTATTGGGGGTATGCCAGGTGGCCCAGGCTAGCCTGATCTCGTCAGGTCTCGAAAGCTAAGCAGGGTCGGCCCTGGTTATCCCTTGGATGGGAGACCTGCAAGGAAGTCCAAGGTTGTTACACAGAGGCAGGCCGTGGCCAACCACCTCTGAACGTCTCTTGCCGTGAAAGCCCTATGGGGTCGCTGGAAGTTAGCTGCGACAGGTGAAAGAAAAAAAGTCTGCACCTGCTGGCGAAAGACACCGGTAGAGGGAGACAGACCAGTCCTCCTGGGGGAGGGAGTTCCAAAGCGTTGGAGGCCCTTTCTTGGGTTCCGTGGGAGGTGGTGGTCCTTTGCGGTATGTTGTTCCCCGGACATACGGGGCTTCGGAGGTCAATGCCGGCACCTTGAATTGAGCCCAGAAGCAAATTGGGAGGTAGTGTAGATGGAATAAGACTGGAGTGATAATGGTCCCTGACAAAGTTTGAGTCCAGTGTCACCTTTAAGACCAACAAAGTTTTTCAGTTGTTGTAGATCTTCCGGGCTGTATGGCCGTGGTCACTCAAGGCAGGTAGAAGCCTAGCTCCGTGTAGCCCGTTAAAGCACCATCTCTCCTACTGGAGACAGCTCCCTTTGCAGGCGGAAGAGGTAGCGTAACCCCTCAAATTCTGGCGACCGAAAGCTCTTTCTCGTACTACATATATGGCAGCCATACGCCCCTTGGCACCCGAGGAAGCCATTCAGCAAGTCACGGACCCATGCTGGGCACTGGAGAGGACCAGATCTCTTTGGTTCTCGGCTTCCCCATCCCGTACTCCCATGGGATCTTTCGAGACAGCTGTTTTTCCCGGCCATTGTGGCAGGACGTTTCGTATGTGGTGGTGGGGAGAAGTAGCTCCGTGCTACTTTTCCGTTTTTGCAGATAGTTTCAGAGGGCAGCCGTGTTGTTCTGCGGTAGAAGAGCCAGATTCAAATCCAGCAGCACCTTAGAGACAGGCAAGATTTTCGGGGTATGGGCTTTAAAGAGTTAAAGCTCCCTTTGTCAGATACAGTGCCGCCCACCACCAGTTTGGTGTAGTGGTTAAGAGGGCGAAGTCTAATTCCCCACTCCTCCTCATGCAGCTGCTGGTGTGACCTTGGGTGAGTCACAAGTCCTCTCAGAGCTGTTCTCTCAAGGGCTGTTCCTGAGAGAGCTCTCTCAGCTCCACCAACCTCACAGGGTGTCTGTGGTGGGGAGGGGAAGGGAAAGGAAAGGAAAGAAGATTGTAAGCTGCTCTGAGACTTCATTCGGTAGTGAGGGGCAGGGTATAAATCCAATCTCCTCCTCCTCCTCCCTCTTCCTCCTCTTCTTCCTCTGACTAGGATATAAGGACTCGGGGAATCTCTATTCCTATCTGTACCTGACGAAGGGAGCCTCGACTCTTGAAAGAGTCGTTTAAAATCTTGTTGGTCTCTAAGGAGCTACAGGATTCGAATCCAGCTCTCCTGTTTTTGCCGTGTTTCTCCACTGGTTTCTAACCTGGCCAGCCTGTTTAGACAAGCCGCGATCAGTGTGGAGATCCCCACGTGGACATTGGGGGGGGCATGGGGGTTCAGCTTCATTGCCTCTGTGGTTACTTGAGCAACACCATGGCCCCGGTCACACTGGGAGAAATAGGCGCGGCCAAAGTGCAGCTTTTTTGAGCCGCACCAAAAGAGAAGCGTAGCTCAGTGGCAGAGCCTCTGCTTGGCATGCAGAAGGTCCCAGGTCCAGTCCCCGGAATCTCCAGTTAAAAGGACCAGGCAGGAGGGGATGTGAAAGACCTCCGCCTGAGACCCTGTAGAGCTGTAAAGAGGGGCTGTGGCTCAGTGGTAGAGCACCTGCTTTGCATGCAGAACGTCCCAGGTTCAATCCCCGGCATCTCCAGTTAAAAAGGACCAGGCAGTGGGTGATGTGAAAGACCTCAGCCTGAGACCCTGGAGAGCTGTAAAGAGGGGCTGTGGCTTAGTGGGAGAGCCTCTGCTTGGCATGCAGAAGGTCCCAGGTTCAATCCCCGGCATCTCCAGTTAAAAAGGACCAGGTGGTTAGTGATGGGAAAGACCTCCGCCTGAGACCCTGGAGAGCAGCTGCCAGTCTTAGACAATACTGACCTTGATGGACCGAGGGTCTGATTCAGTGTGGGGCAGCTTCATGTGTTCACGTATATTCCTGTGCACCTATGACTACACAGATTAGTTCCCCCGGAGGAAATGGCAGCTTTGCAGAGTGGAGGGTGGAACACAGAGCATCACACCCCCGTTGAGCTGCCTCCTTCCCTCCCTCCCTCCCCGGACTCTGTCCCCAAATCTCCAGGAATTCCCCAGCCTAGAATTAGGTTCTGCCTTTTGTACCAAGCCTTCTTTCTGTTCAAGGGCAAGAGAGCCAGTGTGGTGGAGTGGTTAGGAGCGCGGACTCTAATCGGGGAGAACCGGGTTTGATTCCCCCACTCCTCCACATGCAGCCTGCTGGGGTGACCTTGGGCCAGTCACAAGTTCTCTCAGAGCTGTTCTCTCAAGGGCAGTCCTCGAAAGAGCTCTCTCAGCCCCGCCTACCTCACAGGGTGCCTGTTGTGGGGAAGGGAAGGGAAAGGAGTTTGTAAGCCCCGCTGAGACACCTTTGGGTAGTGAAGGGCAGGGTATAAATCCAATTGCCTCCTCTTCTTCTTCTTCTCCTCCTCCTCTCAAGGGCAGTCCTCGAAAGAGCTCTCTCAGCCCCGCCTACCTCACAGGGTGCCTGTTGTGGGGAAGGGAAGGGAAAGGAGTTTGTAAGCCCCGCTGAGACACCTTTGGGTAGTGAAGGGCAGGGTATAAATCCAATTGCCTCCTCTTCTTCTTCTTCTACCTCACAGGGTGCCTGTTGTGGGGAAGGGAAGGGAAAGGAGTTTGTAAGCCCCGCTGAGACACCTTTGGGTAGTGAAGGGCAGGGTATAAATCCAATTTCCTCCTCTTCTTCTTTAAATGGAGGGGGGAGGTTATCATTCAACCGCTGCTTCAGTGGCTTTGAGATAGGGCCCTGACGGAAGGGCTAAAGAGGAAGGGAAATTTTGCTTTTATTTAAAGAGAACTGGGTTGTCAGAAGTGCGCCAAGAAGAGCAGGTCGCCGCGTCACAGCCTGGCCACAAACCAGCTACCCGAATCGCCTCCAAAAATATCGCAGCCGAGGATAGATTTAAAAGGGGCGGCGCTGGCGGTATCCCGTCTTCCCACCCGCTGATGTGTCTCAAGGCAGTTCACAGATCAGGCAGTGTGGGCGAACTCCGTATGCACCACACGGCGCGGTGGCCCAGCAGGACTCTGTCCACACCCCATGGATTTCCTGTATTGATAGGGCAGGGAGGCCCACCCCAGTGGGGAGAGACACAAGACTGGTTCCAGACACATTCTGGTTTCTCAACACCTCTGAATGCTCACCTGATGCTAAGCTGGGCCGGAGTTTCTGAAACGCAGCTCAAGAGCTGAGGTTTCAAGGGTGCAAACTGTACGTTTTTTTGGTGCGGTTTTCTGAATTCTGAAACGCACTCAAACTACTCTTCTGTCTTTTAAAGCCATCGGCGGAATTGCAGAACGAGAGACAGACATCCTTTCCCCTCCAGATTCCATAACGTCCTTTGCTTGTTTCTACAGAGGATGGTGAAGGTGAACACGATCCTTGCAAATCGTTGTTTCTCCGTCTCTGAAAGTCGTTCCAACTCTAGCAAGTTCGAAGGCCGTGAGGATCAGAATGTCTTTCATTCTGTGAACGAGCATTTTCTTTGGTGTAGCCAGTTTGGTGTAGTGGTTAGGAGCACAGACTCTACTCTGGGGGAACCACGTTCGATTCCCCACGCCTCTGTATGCAGCTGCTGGTGTAACCTTGGGTCAGTCATAAGTTCTTTCAGAGCTGTTCTCTCAAGAGCAGTCCTCGAAAGTGCTCTCTCAGCCCCACCCACCTTACAGGGTGTCTGTTGTGGGGAGGGGACGGGAGAGGAAAGGAGATTGTGAGCCAGTCTGAGACTCCTTCAGGTAGTGAAGGGCGGGGTATAAATCCAATATCTTCTTCTTTATTTATATATTTCATTTACACTCCAACTTTCTCCCCGGTGGGGACCCAAAGTAGCTTATATCATTATCCTCTCTCCATTTCGCCCTCACAACAGCCCTGCGAGTTAGGCTGAGAGAGTGTGTGACTGGCCCAAGGTCACATGGCGAGCTTCCACAGCAGAGCGGAGACTCGAACCTGAGTCTCCCAGATCCTAGACTTACACCCTAACCACTACACCCCACTGGCTCTCATTCGCTTTTGAATCGTTTCTTACCTCTTCTCCAACAATGTTAAAAACAAAGGTATCGAGGAAGAAGGGGGCCGCAGCAAACCGGGATGGCTGAAGTTAATTTTTCACAGGTTACGGGTCAAAGGTTTGTGCTTCTGGGATTTGCGGCCAGTGGCGCGTGAAGGAGAAATTCCATTCTTCTTGTTGTTGTGACAACAGCACGCACAATACGCCTTTGCTTCCTCGCCCAGAATGTCCTTTTTCTCGTGTCCGAGAACGAGCATTTCATACGAATATTCCGAAAAGATATCGAACACCACAAGCTGCCAACATTGACATGGCCTCTACATCTGAAACCTGTCCCCCCCCCTGTACCAGTGATCTTAAAATAAGCTTTGTGGCAGAAAACAGACGGGCGGAGCGTCACTGGGATGAGTGCGAACTCTGCTGCTGTGACCCTTCACTGCTTTGGGGGGGCAGTCGGTTGTGTCCCA